GTAGACTCATCTTCAATAATTTATTTACAGAATAATTGAATACATAATCATGCAATTTATACCGTGACATCATCATCATCATAGGCTCATTTTCTTTAAAAATCATAGGCTCTTTAAAATCGTAGGGTGTAGGTAGTATCGTCTGATGCATTTAAGCACGTAAGTTATGCATAACATTCTCATCTTATCTCATATGAGATATTCGTCTCTTTTCATGCATTAAAGCATATAAGTTATAACAAGCATAACATCGGGTTAATACCCAAAACAGTCATCGAACTTGTCTAAAAGTTCGCATGAGGTCACTGAACTTCACATCTACCCTAAATAGTCACCGAACTTTGTAAATTTTGTCCCCATCCATCACTGCATCAAAATCAAACAATTTTTGATGATGTGTCAAACAGAGTAAGTGACGTGGCGTACAATTTCTTAGCCAAGTAAGCAAAATGTGATGAGGTGGACAATCTCTCAAACTCACCGGATTCCACCATAGCCGCCAANGTAGACTCATCTTCAATAATTTATTTACAGAATAATTGAATACATAATCATGCAATTTATACCGTGACATCATCATCATCATAGGCTCATTTTCTTTAAAAATCATAGGCTCTTTAAAATCGTAGGGTGTAGGTAGTATCGTCTGATGCATTTAAGCACGTAAGTTATGCATAACATTCTCATCTTATCTCAAGCATAAAAGCATATAAGTTATAACAAGCATAACATCGGGTTAATACCCAAAACAGTCATCGAACTTGTCTAAAAGTTCGCATGAGGTCACTGAACTTCACATCTACCCTAAATAGTCACTGAACTTTGTAAATTTTGTCCCCATCCATCACTGCATCAAAATCAAACAATTTTTGATGATGTGTCAAACAGAGTAAGTGACATGGCGTACAATTTCTTAGCCAAGTAAGCAAAATGTGATGAGGTGGACAATCTCTCAAACCCACCGGATTCCACCATAGCCGCCAACCAAGACACCTCAAACCACCAATGTCCGGCTGCCTATCCCGCCAAATAGCACCATAGACGGCATCACCCCACTCTCCCCAACATCTTCCACCTCACCACCGGTCACAAACCCACCGGAATTAGC